ATATTGGTGGCCCACAATGAAGCGGGAAATTTCTGAATTTACAACACGATGTCTGACGTGTCAACAAGTCAAGGCCGAACACCAAGTGCCTAGTGGGTTGCTACATCCACCTACTATCCCTGAATGGAAGTGGGAACGAATTACGATGGACTTTGTGATTGGACTTCCATTATCAGCTAAGAAAAATGACGCTGTCTGGGTAATTGTTGATCGATTAACCAAGTCATCTCATTTTATTCCTATTCGACGCGATATGTCCTTGAAGAAGTTGGCAGAGTTGTACATCCGTGAGATTGTAAGATTACATGGTGTACCTTTGTCTATCATTTCTGATCGTGACCCGCGATTCACATCGCAATTCTGGAAGAGTTTGCAGAAAGCCTTAGGTACTAAACTTAACTTTAGTACGGCATTTCATCCTCAAACTGACGGACAATCTGAAAGGACAATTCAAATTCTTGAAGATATGATGAGAGCATGTGTAATTAATTTTGGAAGCAACTGGGAACAATACTTACCGCTAATGGAGTTCGCGTATAACAACAGTTATCAAGCGAGTATCCAAATGGCCCCGTACGAAGCCTTGTATGGGAGACGTTGTAGAACCCCAGTATGCTGGACAGAATTAAGCGAGCAAAAGCTTGAAGGACCTGATCTCGTTCGCGAAACTGAAGAGAAGGTTCGTCTAATCAGAGAAAGATTACAAGTGGCTTCCGATCGACAGAAATCTTATGCCGACTTAAAACGTCGGGAGATCGAATATAATGTTGATGACAAGGTGTTTTTGAAAGAAGATCGATTATGAATCTAAAACTTTTGTTGTAGATTTTTGGTGAAAAAGGCCGATTTTTGTTGCACTAACATATTAGTCTTAGTTTTATTTGTATTTAATTAAAGTGTTTTTCATTCTTAGTATTTTCACTAATTGTTGTTTAATTATAGAAAAATAAAAGACGTCAACTTTTATCATAGGTATACCCGACCCGATACCGAGGCCCAATGGATTCAAATATAGGATTAAACTTCAAGACCTGTCGGGTAAATGGGTACGGGTCAGGATTAATTTTTTTAAAAACATGTACGGGAATAGAATACTATGGACCAGCTCGAACCCGACCCATTGACAGGCCTACACATGATGAAGGATGCTCCCAATCACCTCAAACAAATATTCAAAATAATTTTGAATAATTAAATGAAATTGGGGTGTAGAAATTTGAGTCCGAAAAATATTTAGTGTGTCAAGCGATGTATAAGAAAAAATATTTAAATAAATTATTTTTGCTTACCAAAAATATTTTCTAATATCAAAATAATTATTTTGATAAATATTTGACACACCTGTTGTAACTGACTCAATGAAAACTTTTTTGAACAGTAAAAAAAGATTTTTCAACTGACTCCAAAATAACTATAATTTTTATATAAATCTCATAAAAATAATCTTGGAGTAAAAAATGTTTTTGTCATCCATACCATATTTCCTAAGACTCAAACAAATTAAAAGTCTTCGAAAATCTTCCGTAAAGCTCTCCGTTAGGTGTCTTGGTCTTCATTAAATCATGTGCTCATTCTTGAATACTTCAAGGGATTTAGGCTCCAAATCTTTGTGTTTGTCAATATAGCACTTCATTCTTGACTTGAATAAGTTGTGTTTGTCAGTTATCAAAACTTGTGAGTCAACATTTAACAGTACAAAAAGAGTTGAGCTCATACATTCCAACACTTTATATATAGTGTGACATTATAGTGTGACATTATAGTGTGACATTACGTATATGTGTATGTATATGTATATACACACACTATAATGTCACACCAGTCCCCTTGAAATAGTTCAATTAGAGTACCTACGATGCTGCAATCATAAAATAGATTGTTTCTACCCCTTCTAACCACCTCTAAAGATTTTTCTCATGTTTTCTTGCGCTCTCCTGCTCCCCCCACGCAGATTGCTAATCTTTGGTAATTTGAAACACCGTAGGCACTCCAATTGTGTTAGAATAAATGTTCAACGCTGGGGCAGGAGGGTGAATAGCATTTGAACAAAATTGCGCGAAATGAAAACGAAGTGCAAGTAAAGTACAGAGAATAAGGAAAGCGCACATAGTATTTGTACTAGTTCACCACGACTTGTAGCTGATCTAGTCCCCCGATAGACTCTGTAAAAGGTCCTACTAACTTCGTTAAGCTTAAAGGTGCTTAATAAATCGATACAATCTAGGAACTCGAGTCAAGCAAGCCTCAACACCACTTCCTCGAAGATACCTAACTCCAAGACTTCAACCGCTCGTAGATGTAGGGCCTGTTTGGGAACAGCGTTAACGATTAGCGTTAGTGTTTTGAAAAGGCTATCTACGGGCAGCGTTTAGCGTTTTCAAAGTAATATGCACCGTTAAAATTTTATCCAAATCGCTAACGCTAATCTCTAAAGCTATTCCCAAACAGGCCCGTACCCTCTGTTAGTCGGTTTTAGTCGTTGTGCCCACACCTTAGAGGGGGGGTGAATAAGGCGTTTGAAATCTTTTCAGAGATTGATAAAAACGGTGTTTGCAAATGCGGAAGCAATATATAAAATGCAGAAATAAAAGCGTAAAGTAAAATGCAAACCAGTTTTATATTGGTTCGTGAACTCCCTACTCTAGTACCTTAAGGCTCCTCCTTAAGGATTTCCGAATCCACCAAGTCCCGGTCTCTTGAACTCCGTCAAAGCACCGCACTAATTTTGGCAAACAACTCTTGCCAATAGGATTCACTCCGAGATTTCACCACGGCTATCTCGAACCGTTTACAACAAAGATTTAACGGCTATCTTCTACCGATCCCCTAAAGATTTCAAAGGTTATCCTTGAATCTTTACCCAATGATTTATACGGCTATCCTTCACCATTACAACGTGAGA